AGTCGCTTCCACTCCCTGCACGCCGGCCGGGCCGTCGGGGAGGGAAGCGGCACCGTCGTCATTGCACTTTGGGGTATCTTTATAGTTATATTTAGCCTGATCTCCTGAAAAATAGTGGCTTTATGGCAGATCCCCGGAGGTACCCGGACCCCAGGTGTGCCCAGGCCCCAGAAAGACATAGCTAAAGGAAAAAACGGAGGGGCTTGCTCTGCAGAGCCTTTCCAAAGGGCTTTTCCAGGAATCAAACCCCCAGGGAGGCACAACTTGCACCTCCTGGAGCAAGAGGGATGTTTGGGCAAGGCTTGCACAGGGGGAAAAAAACCCATTTCTGAAGGTTTCCAGCTCTTCTTCATGAACTACGGCTTCAGTTTTTATCCCCAGGCAAAGAAAAGGAGAGCCCAGCAATTTTTAAAACAAAGACAGCTTTATTGCGGCAACGTGCTGCCCCAGGGGATGGTGGTAACTCCCCTCTGCTGGAGACCAACCTCTAATGACCAGGTAAGGAATTACCTTTTATAATATTTATCTTTTAGCACAAGAACTTGGTGACCAAGGCGGCAATTCCCTCCCGCATCACTCAAGATATAGGAATTAAATAGCCGGCGTGTGTTGCATCCAACCCTGGACCGGTAAGTTGAGCCGCGTTGGGAAACGGGCTCGCAGAGGGAAACCTCAAGCAAGATGAATTGCAAAAATATGAGTGTGTTTTCATCCAAAAAAAACCCCAGTGAAACCCTCTGCAAAGCTCCCCGGGCTGCTCTGCTGCGGGCTCAGCAATAACCTACCGATGGCAAAGCTTCCCCCAGCAGCCGTAAGTCAAATGCAGAGGAGGGAGCGTAGATCAGGGACCTGTTTTCTCTCCAAACGTACCAAAATCCTTCGGGTACCCCGGGGCGGCTGTAGTTGCTGCATCTATCAAGCAAGAGGAATCATCTCAAAAGTGAAATGCAAAGGGGAAAAAAATGTCTGTTTTTCAAAAGAGCAATGTGTCCGGAGCACCGCTCGGCGGAGGAAACGCTGGGTTTATTAGTGACGCTTTTTATTAATAAGGGTATTTTGGAAGCCGGAGGCTGGCTTCGTTTATTTGGATGACCAAGCAGGGAAAGGTGGGTGAGAGCTGGTGTGCGACTGCCGGGCTCTGTCTCCCTCTTCTGACTGTTTCCAGGCTTTATTTTTTAACTAAACCAGAAGCGATCCCCAGCACAGGCCTGAAAAAAACACTTTCTGAACCCTTTTTTTTTTTCCCCAAATCACATTGAAAATGGAGCTGTGAACCACAAGAGCTGAGCAGTCGGGGTTATTGAATTTTTGTAAAACAGTATGGCCAAAATTTGGGGGGGTGGGGTGGGGTGTGGCAAGTGGAGAAGGTAAAACCTGCAGCCCAGGGAAATCGGGTGAGCACGAGCATTTAAGGAATAACAGGGTGGCTGCCTTCACCCGAGCAGTTCATGAGCTCCGGGGGTTTTGCTTTTCTTCCTTCTTCCCCCTCTCTCCAGGAGGTGTTTGGCAAAACCTTAAGAAATACAAGCTGATAAATTCAACCCGCTCTTTGTATTTCCACGTATTTGGAGAAAGTAAGTTCATTTCTATTGTTTTTGTTACAGGACAAGCAGCCACCAACACCTTTATACCATTTTCCTGGCTGGGCAGAGCGCGCTGATGCTGGACCCCGGCACAGGCAGCCTTGAACGGGTCGGATGCAGGCGGGTTTTCACGCCTGGACTAACACTGTTTTTCGGCAGGCGGTGAGCGATGGGAGATGGGGAGAAGTCGACTCGTGCATCAGCTTGGGCACCCGGCTCCCCTGTTCCCACGGGCAGTTGGTCGACAAATGCCTGGAAAACGGGAAAGGTAGATTTAAGCGAGAGCATGAAATCGTAAGTGCACTTTGCAAAAGCTTTTCTCCCCGCTTACAAACATGACTCGTAACTCTAAATAAAGGGGATGCCAATAATATTCCCTAATTCACCCTAAATTTTGCATCTTGAAATCGCTGCTGCCTTGCTCCAGACCTGACCCTGCCACACATGGAAGAGCAAATCGAGTAAAACAGGAGCTGGGAAGAAAATGGGAGCAGTGATAAAGTATCAAACAGGTTTTGCTTTGCTTCTGCTGAGACTCCGGATCGTGCCATCGAATAATCTCCCCAGAGGCGAGAGAAAAGCCCCGTTATCGGATGACCTTAAAGCACAAAGTCTGATTTCCTCGGTTTTTTGCGTAACGACGAGGCCGGCCGTGACGAAGTGCCGGGCGCCGCTTTGATGCGGATTTATTGATACCCCTGTTAAAAGGCTAAGCGGGGGCGAGCAAGCCAGGCGTTAAATAGAAGCGGACAGCTCGGGAAGCAAAGTGGGCATGCTCATGTGACCGAGAGCTTGCTTTTCACGAAATCAAATTTAGGGACGTTCAACACGTTAAAAGCAAAACGTGGAAATTGTAAAATAATTCGATGTGCGACCCTCATCAAACCCTGCCCCCAAACTGTATCTGATGGCCCAGGGGCTGATCCTGTCATCCCCAGGGGTTTTAGGAGCTTTCTCGCTGATGGTGATGCTTCTCTGCGCCTCCCTGAAGAATTTCCTTCCGCTCCTTAAGATCAGATGTACATGACATTGCACAGAGCGAAAAAATAAAAGCACTTGCCCTCCCAAATCCCTAGCGATCGAGCCAAAACTGATGCAAAAAAAACCCCCCCGCCCAACGACCCCAGAAGATGCAGATTCTGCAAGCTGGGGATGGACAACTTGAATTTTCCTACGTCCCGGTGCTCTGATATCTAGAGACCATCACTGCGCAAGACCAGGTCTCTGCTGGCTTGAATGTCCCATCCTCTCCGGAGGTCTGTTTGCATCCCGTGATGCCTTTCTGCTCCCAAAGTCGATCAGCGTTGCCCAAAATACATTTTAACCTGGGAGCTACAGAGCGGTTGGCAGTAGGCGTCGATACGATGGTTGCAAGAGCAGCTTTATCTCAAGGCAGTCTGGGCTCCCGCACCCACCAGCGCCCGTGACTTTACTCTGCGGCCCCGTCCTTCGATTTCTGAGCGTTTTGGGGGGAGCTCAAGGTGAGTTTATTAATGGTAAAACTTGTTTTTGTGGAACTGAGAGCTGGGTGGGGGTAGTGGGGTTTAAGCGGCAAAGGTAACGGCGCTCTTCTTTTCCTCCCCTTATTTCTAGTGTGCTTACGGTCGCGTTTTCCAACAATTCTAGTCTGCGTCATGCTTGTGTTTGTATGCAAGGATTTGGAGGGGAAGAAGCTTTATATGTAAAATATGAGAGGGAAAAAGTCCCAGGCTATATGACTCTCATAAATCAGCCGTAATCAGTCAGGACCTTTCATTTATCAGTGGATCTAACAAAGCCTGGGTTTATGAGAAGATGGGTTATTTTTGCTGCCCAACAGAGCTGTGGTAGAGCTCTCACCAGCCAAGCTCGATTGCAAAAATATCGTATTTCTTCCCAATATTGACCCAGCCGAAGGGTTGCGTATCCCCATCCATCATCTGGGGACCCCGAGCTCGTGCTGAAGCTCGTGGGGAAATCCCTTGGGGGGTTTGTGACACTTCATCTGTTAGAAGGTACCGGCTCATTTTAGAGCGAAAATATTTATGCCTGTAGCTGGGTGGGTATTTTGCTGTTTCTCCTGCCAGCACCAGCTTCCTAAAACCCTCAGAATTAGCCCCATAATGTTTTTCCCAGGAAGCCAAGGCTTGTGGCTGATGTTATCCCTTAATACGCCCCGGTTTGGGGCACGGTTGTCCATCCAGAAGTGTTTGCCCCTAAAATAAATTGGTTCCTGCACCTGTGCATAAAAGTGTTGGGTTAATGTGGTCAAAAAAAAGTCCCAAATCTGTTAAATCAAGAGGTGGCTTCAAATAACAACTGGGTTAAGGCTGGAGCCCGTATCGGTCTTTGCCTTGGGGGAAAATGGGTCAGTAATTCGGCAACCCAAGCAGAGCTGACCTGGCCAGGCCTGGACCCTTCCAGCTGTTTAGGTGCACACCCCGTTCGCTTTATATTTTTAATCTATTTGGCTTGAATTGAGATTTTTCTTCCCTAAAATAGATGGATAATGATATGATATTGCTGTGAGTGCAAGCAGCCGGAACGGGGGGACGCGGAGAGGCTGGCTCTCCGACTGCTCTCAAAGTGACTTTGGGAGGCATCGACCGGGCTGCCACGAATAGTAACCGTTCTCCCACCCAAGTCAAGTGTGAAAGGCAATCACTGGAGGTCAGATAATTAGGAGATTAATTAGCATCCATGGCAAAATCCAAAGAAACTCGTATGGGGCATAAAACAGCAGGTTTGAAGGAAGATATGTGGAAGCGGCAGCCTGGGTATGGTGTAAAAATCTGTGCTTAGGAGATGGGGAAAACGAACTCTGCTTCTGCAAAACCCCTTTTACCTGTGCAGGTCCCCCCCCCATATGTGGAAGGCAGCCTGGGTATGGTGTAAAAATCTGTGCTTAGGAGATGGGGAAAACGAACTCTGCTTCTGCAAAACCCCTTGTGCAGTCCCCCCCCCCCGAAAATTAAACAGGTGCTTATTCTTATTAAGCAACCCCTGTTAACTGAACTTGTGTCCGTAATCGTACCGGCAAATCTCTTATGCTTCCCTCACGCCCTCCTTTGAGCGGTAGAAATAAGAGACTGGAGACGTAACCCCGGTGAAATTTATCCAGATTTTCTTAAATATGGGGAGAGCGGAGGTGGAGCCCGGGCAGGGCTGGCGCAGAGCGAGGCAGGGCTGAGAGCTCGCCGAGGCGAGACGCGGGTGCTTGCAGGAGGTGCCGGAGGGTCCCCGGTGCATCCGCAGGGAAGGTCCCGGCTCCCCGGTGCGTACTTGCCCCATCCGGGAAGGACCCTGTGATTTTACCAGGGCCACCATAGCAGGGAGCACCCGGCAGGCGTGCAAAGAGGCTGTTCCCCTGCCCAGCACCCTTTAAAATCTCTCTCCTTTCTCCTCCCCGTGGCTCAGCTCTCTCCGAGCGGCGGGACCATGCTGGAGGATGAGGATGGGATGAGCGAGAGGGGGCTCAGCAGCTCGAGGAGGAGATACGACGATGAGGAAGGTGAGCGAAACCCCGGGGATGCCCCAAATGGCAGCGGGGTCTTCCCTGCTGGCTGATGCATCAGATCTCCCAGCGCTCGGCTCGGCACATCCCATGCACGGACATGGGAAAAGCTCCGGTGGATGTTTTAAGCCCGGTGGGAAGGCGGCAAATATCTCCCTGGCTTTTTTTTTGCAAGTGAGAAACACCCAGATCTGCTCTCTAAAGCTTTTCCCCCCACCCCCACCCCCCCTATAGATTACCACTCCATCTACATCGGGGTGCCGGTGCCCCGGGGCTACCGAAGGAAACGGCGTCGGCGAAGATCTGTCTCCAGCCGGGACAGGACGAGCGAGAGCGAGCGGCACTACGAGCGCCAGGATCGCTCCGACACCGACGACGGCGGCCACGGCTGCTACGAGAGCGGCAACGACAATGCCAGCAGGACCAGTGAGTCACCCTCGGGCTTCCCGAAAAAGCAGGAGGGGTTTTGCAGCATCATTTAATCCAGGATTAAATCGCCCCTGTGCACCTAGCCGCGTTGCTTGGTCCGGTGTTTGTACTTGGCACTGCTTTTCCTGACACTTTCCAGGTTTATTTTTCCCTGTGGATGTCTCTGAGAGCCAGGCACGGGGTGTGAAGTGGGATTTGAGGCTGCTTAGGTGATGGGTGGGCTAAAAAGAGGTTGTCCTTGCCCTCGGGAGGTTGCTAACGAGGAAATCGGGGTACAGCAGGGTCCCGGGGGTGCAGACATCCTCCGGGCATCACACCTTGTTCCCGACAGGCTTTTGCCCAGGGCTTTGCCTGGTCTCATTCAATCTCCTTGGCGAAGATTAACATCTTGCACAGCAAAGCAGCTGTCGGTCTCTTGGTGGGGTTTTTTTTCCCCTACCCGTCCCCCTGGTAGAAATTTGCATTTGGGTTTACGTCGAGCAGACCACGTCGCGGCTCAGCAGAGCGGGCAGGGGCTCGGTTTTGCTTTTCCTTACAGAGAGGAAAGTTTTCCAGGTTTTTTTTTTTGCACGAGGAGAGGGTTTTTTATTTGCAGCGGGCTTTGCTCGCAGCTCCTTCACGTGCCTTCGGCGGCGGCGCAAGCGGGCCCACGTCCCCTCCTTTCCGCAGGAGGTAAATGCCACCGGGATATAACACTGGGCTGGTTTTGGGGGGGGGCAAAGTAATTTTATGGAGGAAAAACACCCCAAAAAGCCTCAACTCTGCAGCAGCCCTGCTTCTCCTGAGAAAATCTCCCTCATTTGGATGTTTTTTCCCCCAAAAAAAATCTCTGCCCTGAGCTTGGAGAGGATTTTCCCACCTCGCTCTGAATGGGAAACAAAAACTCTCCACAAAATAACCCCAAACCTTTAATTTCTGTCCTCCCGCCTCTCCCTCCCTCCCTCCCTCCCTCCCCTTTCTCGCTCACTCCATCCCGCTGCCACCCAACGCGCTCACCTCTCCTACACGCATCCCGTTTGATTTGGTAACTTCCCGTCATGAGAGCCGAAGGGAGAGGAAAGTGCTTTATATTCTCTATAATCTGCTCCTTAAGCCTTGGGAATTTAACAAGCCTGAGTGGATAAAGGAGGAAGTTTGGGGGTTTGGGGGTTTGTTTTTTTTTTTTGTGCCGTGCGGTGAAAGTTTGGTTTAGCCGGGAAGAAACGGGGGAAAAAATGGAAACGATTCCAGGTAGGTTATTTCCATCGCTCTTTGGCGTCCGCGGCGGGGGGGAGCGGGAGGGGAAGAAAGGCTCCATTTTTTTTCGGCTTTGCTTTTCCCGTGTCAAAGCAATTTGGGAGCCTGCGTGGGGTTGGGTTGAGCGCTCGCTCAGGGCACCGAGCTCCAAAGCTTACCCCAAAAATATAAGGGGGCGGCGTGGGGGAACTGTATCAGCTTCCGCTGCTCCCCAGCAGTGGGGAAGCAGAAAAAAATGATATTTGGAAGGAGAAAAGTCTCCCAGACCAGGGGGTTTCTTGAACAGGAACGGAGCATCTAATCCCATGGGATGTGCACCCCAGTCTCCTCTTTTTTTTTGGGGGGGAGGGGGACGGGGACCAGCCTGTGCCATGAAACCCCAGGGACAGGCTGGGGGGGATCGCATATTCAGAAGGACCACGACAGTGGATGGTTAATGTGTTGGAGCCTTAAATAAGGCTAAGTCCCGCTGCCCAGCCGGATTGCAAACCCCGGGCGGCATCACGTTCCCCCGTCCCCCCTTTTATCACCTTTTTTATTGTACCTAAAGCCAGAGCGGGATTTTTGGTTTGGAAAAGCATCGCCAGGCGAGGTTTTACTGCTGAATCAAAGTTGGGGTGTGAAGGGCTCTGTGCACCTCAAATTAAAGGAGCGATAAATCAGTGCGGCTGGTCCGTCCTGTCCGATTACCCACGGAAAAGTAGGCTCCTGGGTACGTAAAATTATCCTATATTATCACCAGCGAGCTAATGCTGAGCTAATTCTGCAGCTGTGGGCCCGATTCGGATCCAGTGTGGCTGAAATCACGGTGGAGGTTTGATGGGTGTACAGCAGGAATTGCAGCTCTGAGTGTTTTCCCATCATAAAAGCTGGTTCGGGGAGGTACGGATCTGCTCTGGGCACCCGTTGAACTGTGTCTTGCAAGAAATAGGGGCCGATTTTTGGGGTGGCTTTGTGGGTTTTGGCCAGCGTCGCTGCAGCAGTTGTACTCCCGCGTTCCCCGGAGGTGCCAAGCCCTAGACGCCGCTATTCACTATATCCTCCCAAGCGAATACCTGCTGCTTCCTGGGATTAATTTTAGGTGCTGGATCAAATTTCCAGGAGGAAAACAAAAAAAAAATCACCGAGGGCTGGGTCGTAACCAGATGCCGGGCTGGGTGCTTTCCCAGGCACGAAAGGGTCCTCCAGGTGAATAAACCCCATGAATTTTGGCGGCGCGGCAAAGCCCCGGCGC